TTATCTAGGCGCGTCTATTTTATCTTTATAAAATTCATAATATTTTTAATATTTCTAATATTGTGAACTTCATATAAATACCCTGGCTTCATATAAATACCCTTGTACTATATACAAATATACATATACATCTGCTTTTATTATTATTCTTTAATTTTTCGTTTATCTAATAGAAATAATGAAAAAAGAAAAATAAAACAAAATTGTGTGTGTGCCTACCGAAGCATTTTTTAACCTAAATAGAAAATTATTTGAAAAATAACCTCAAAACATAATATTATATAAAAAATACATTTTATATACATATTTACAGCTAGATATAATAATAAATTATATTAGATAGGCACAGGTACACACATGTATACATACTGTGTTATACGTGATGTACTGATAAATTTTATTGTCCCAAACGTTTTTATAAAAACAAAAAAAAAATTTTATTAGAAAAAACCTTGAAAATACGTTAACGCTTTGGTAAGTCAACCATATTAGTTATCTAAATTATATATATATATATATATATATATATATATATATATATATATATATATATATATATATATATATATATACATGTACATATACCTGCCCAAAATCAACTCAACCGTTCATAAAAAAATTCGCATAAATACAAAAGAGATCTTGAAAAGTATTCACAGAAAGGTCTAAAAATTGCCAAAAAAAAATTTATACATATACGATGGACAAAGAAGGGGGAAGAGGCAGGAGGAGCATTTACAATTCAAAGTACACAAACAACGAAACAAGAAAAATGGAAAATTTTTATTAAAACTTTCTTTCAAAAAGCTGAAATCAAATATGTACCCTTCCTGTTTTATGGAAAAACCCTACAAAAAAAAAAAATTGACATATTCGAATTTTCATAGAGATTTAAAATGCCTCTCCATACCTGTATCTGTATGTGTATGTATATTCGAAAAATTCATCATATTCAAAAACTTTTTATACATACTGTAAATAATATTGTATGTATGTGAGTATAAAAGTTTTTGATTGAAAATTTGTTTTTGTATATGGCTACATCCGGAAAGATATAAAAGGACATTATCCCTACTGAATATTTAATCATAATACATCCGTAAACAATACCGTTTTATTAAAATTACGCAGCATTTTGTTATACTCTTTATGTACTTATATATGATTTAAATGTATAACAATATTAATTTAATACACACACGTATTCACACAAGCATGTAGATTTTTTTTTTTTGGATATTAATGTCTTTATATTGGATTTTTAAATAAGTATTTTTGAGAATTGAAAGAGAAATTTATAGAGTGAGAAAACAAGCAAAAAACAAGAGAGGAGTAGAATTTAAAGAGAAATATTTCACAAAAAAATTTTTATAAATTTTTTTTTGTGACTCACCGATACTGAGTGCGTACCTACCTTCATAATATTGTCAATATTTATTAATTTCTTAATTTTGAATTATGTGCATTTTTGATTTTTACACGTGTTCATGGTGTTCGGCAAAAAATATTTTAGTATGTTATTAAATAAGATTGTGGTAATGGTGTTGTTACAAGGAATTTTTGTTTTATTTCAAATCAATTACATTATATTATGAAATTTATAAATTAAATGAGTTGCATTAAAATTTTTGACTTAAAAATATTAGTAAATATGTGAGCTATACAGGTCGTCTCGTATATCTAATAAACTTATCAAATTAAACAAATGTAAAAATTTATGAGAAAGCCGTTCTGAGGATAGCAAATCATGTTTAATATAATGCGACACTGGCATGGACTTATACCTGATACACGCACGCAGTTACGATATAATTACACCAGTCTCCATACAAATGGTTTTGCCTATTTATAAGAGTCTCCATACAAATGGGAGTATACAGAGACACGAAACTCACTTCATATTATCATTTATCGTAAGTATTCAGGCCCCAAGATGAATCATCTATGGCTATAGTTTGGATGAAATGAAACGTCCTTTCTACAGTCGCTGCGCCTAAATTTAATTACTGTATTTTTTAATATATCTATTACGTTATATATAAGAGTTAATTTGAGATTTAAAAAGTTAAATTATTCCCTTTGTTCGTAATCGTATAGCTTCGCCATCATCACTGATATTTCATTGTTCAACATTCACAATTGACTACAGTTCAATAACTTGTCCCATAATATTTCTGTTTGTTTTCTGTTCTTCACAACAATGTTAAACTTTTAAATTTTAAATACACAATGCACATTAAATTTAATTTAGTACATATTTTTTTTTTGTAACAATCGATAACATTTAAAATTAATTTAAATTTTAAAATAAAAGTTTTTTTTCTGCCATAGTTTTGAATTTCTCCATAAATTATTGGTAAAACTTTCAATTTATTTCTAACGTATTCCTAGTTCCTTATTCACAAAAACAAAACAACTACAACAGAAAACACATGAAACGAAGTGTAAAACTAAAATAAACATTTAAAGTTCCAATTAAAAACCGCATATCCTTAAAGAGGCAAATAAAAAAAAACAACAAAAATCCAAAAAACAACAAAAGCCTGACCACAAAGAATTTAATTCTATTTGGTCCGATGCATTTCACTTTTTCTTAACTTTTCTGTAATACACTCTTGTAAATATGTGTACTTACATATTTTATTTCTAATTACGTACAATGTACATAGACACATATATATGTACATACATAGTTTACATGATTTATTTAAAAAGTTTTCAATTTTGTATTTACATTGTATGTAAAAGCAAAAATTACATTTTGAAAATTGTGTACATTCGAAAATTTAGTAAAATTTTTTAATGCATGTTATTGTTCTAGTGCTTGTGTTTGTTAGACCAGTATGTTTATATAAAAATTTTTAGTTTATAAAATGACCCTTGTAATTTACCGATTTCAAACTGATGAGGAACAAAAATAATAAAAACTGACAAATAATTAGATTTTGTTTCAAAAATTTAAAAGAAAATATGGGGCTCCAATATAAAAGTTTGCCTTACTCTCTGGTCTTTCACTTGTTCTATAAATCAAAAAATACGCTAGTTTATATTATAATTTAATCAATGTTAAAATAAATACTACAAAAATTAAAGTTAAAATGTGTGAGAATGCTGGCTAAGCAATTAGAAAAGTTGCAGTTGACCTTAACTGACAGTGACCCTACACCATGGCAGCATCATGGTAAAGTGAAAACATAGTGAGCCGACTGAAACAAAATATTTGATGTGCATATGAATTGCATTTCGTATTCTGTAAGAAATTTAATGCAGTTACCTCAAATAGTTTTCGAACTATTTTAAATTGGGTAAGAGGACTGGAAACTGTCCAAACCTATCTGAGAAATAATTTAACAGATGGCTGCCAAATTTCATGCAAATAAATAGCACATACCCGTATCAGTTGTCCGAATTTGTCAAATTATAATAGCCCCCGTCCCTGGTCGAAAATAAATAATTTTCGAAATTTTGATGCTGTTCACTTTTTTCGTTTTTGAGTTATCGTGCAAACTGAAGGACGGAAGAACGGACATGTCTAAATCGACGTAGCAAGAATTCATGTACACATTTTCATACTGCTGTTGACGCCTTTAAGTGGCTACAAACTCTATACTAAAGGTGGTATACCATTAACTGCGGTGCAGAGTATAAAAAAAGTTCACATGGTCAGCACATAAAAAAAAATTGCATTTAATTCGAAGTACTCTAATATACTCGGTTTTGTTTACTAAATTCATTACTAAATTATAGGACATTTTCCGTCGGAAACCTAAAGCACTTCCCGTATTTTACTATAATTTTTAAGTATCTCACCTTAACAATGAAACTTAACTTAAAATTTATTACCTTTTAAATGCATTTAAAAATTCTTTGATAGTTTCAACTTTAATTAGAGAAACTTTTAATATTCTTGACAATTAAAAAATTCCGAAAAATACTCTTTGTAATTTTCAAAGTTATAATGACAATATTTTTAATTGCATAGTAAGTGTATTGCGGATTGAAAAGAACTTTGTTATTTTGCAAACTTCTAAATTTTTAATTTCATCTTGAAATTCATTAATTTCTTGTACATAAAAACTATATGTTTGTTTGTCGTACACGTTCTTTCACTATTTTCTCTTTCTATTTAAGTACATGAACACTATAAACAGCCATGATATCCCTGAACATGATATCATTTAAGAAAAAATAAAAATAAATCCCTTATCTGTGACCTGAGACGGTTTTCAGATCCTAAAGTACATTTTTGTATTTATTCCTTGTCTTCTTTTTTCTAAGGTTTTAATTTATTGTTGTCGGTTCTTTAATTTATTTAAGTTTCTTTCTTTTACACTTTTTTTTTTGCTTTTCTTCTCTGAAGCTCTTATTTGATTTCTTCGATTTCCCATGCTATTATGATCTCATTTTAAGCATTATATCCTATTAAGTGAAGTATATCTATGTATTATATAGATTTCTACAACTATGTACAACTAACAAATAAAAACAGATATGAATACAAAAAAGAGAATTTCAAGGTTTTCTTAAGATGTTTACGAAGAATGGAACACAATGTGCATTAAGTACTGTTCAGAAATTTTCAAGGGATACTCAATTTTTAAATGTGTTTATTTTATTTCTTTGCTTTTCCTTTAAATTAAACGATGTTTGCAAATTCCATTAAAGTTTTAAGATTTTTAAAATAAATAAGCCCCAATAAGTGTAGAAATTTTTCCTAAAATTTGAGCAGGACAAAAATTAAAATTATCAATATCTTGTCGGAGAGAATGTGTTCTTAAATGATTTGGTCAGAATTTACTTTTGACCACTTACAGAAGAAAATAAACAAATGAAATGCTTTACTTTGCGAATCACTTATGTTCTTAAAATTTTTCCTGTCCTTATATTGAAATGAACAGAATGTCTGAAATATTTGTCTTTTCACCTTTTAATTTGTAGAATAATATTTATCAGACATTTACTAACATCATCTTCTTTATTTATTGTATTTCTTCCAATAGGAGTAACGAAGTTCTAGCTCCCGGTGACCGATTCGTTAGAATTGCATTCGCAGAAGCATCTAAAGAAATTGATCAGGCTATTAATCATACAATTAAAACATTATTTGGTCAAAAACCAGCAGATGCTCCAATTAATTATGCTGATTTATTAAGAGTTTTTCGATTTCCAAATATGCAAGCACGTCAGTTAGCTAGAGCAGCTGAAATTTATGAACGAACTTTAGTTAATATACGAAGACATATTGATGAAGGTGCAAATTTAACAGTTCCAAGTTCTGAATACGAAAACAAAGAAATATTATCTAGAGAACATTTGAGTTTGGTTGCTGAACTTTCCGGTTGTAATGCACATCGCGAAAAACCAAATTGTACTGATATGTGTTATCATTCGAAATATCGTACTGCTGACGGTACCTGTAATAATTTAAATAATCCAACATGGGGTGCTTCACTAACTGGTTTCCGAAGATTATTACAGCCTCAGTATGAAAATGGATTTAGCTCTCCGATTGGTTGGAATAAACATCAAATGTATAACGGTTTTGAAAAACCAAGTGCACGATTAGTATCAACATCTTTGATATCAACAAAAACTATTTCAGAAGATGATTTTATTACACATATGGTAATGCAATGGGGACAATTTTTGGATCATGATTTAGATCATGCTCTACCATCAGTAAGTTCTGAAACATGGGATGGAGTTGATTGTAAAAAAACATGTGAATATGCTGCGCCATGTTTTCCAATAGAAGTACCTCCAAATGATCCAAGAATAAAAAATCGTAGATGCATCGATTTGGTAAGGTCAAGTGCTGTATGTGGATCTGGTATGACCTCCGTTTTCTTTGATGCTGTTCAACCACGAGAACAAATAAATCAATTGACTTCTTATATTGATGCATCTCAGGTGTATGGATATTCTAATGAATTTGCCCTAGAATTGAGGAACATCACAACTGAAGATGGTTTATTAAGAACTGGTGTACATTTTCCAAAACAAAAAGATATGCTTCCATTCGCTGCTCCCCAAGATGGCATTGACTGCAGGCGTAACTTGGCAGAAACAAACATAAACTGTTTTGTTGCTGGAGATATTCGCGTGAACGAACAAGTAGCCTTGTTAGCAATGCACACAATCTGGTTGCGAGAACACAACAGAATTGCTGGAAAACTAAAAGAATTGAATCCTCACTGGGAAGGTGATACTTTATATGAAGAAGCTAGAAAAATTGTTGGGGCACAAATGCAACATATAACATATAAGCAGTGGTTGCCTTTAATTTTGGGTGATGAAGGTATGCAGATGCTTGGAGAATATACTGGGTATAATCCAAACATAAATCCAAGTGTATCAAATGAATTCGCTACAGTTGCATTGAGATTTGGACATTCACTAATTAATCCGATCCTAAGTCGATTAAATGAGAGCTATCAAGAAATTCCACAAGGCCACTTACCTTTACATAAAGCATTTTTTGCTCCATGGAGATTAGTATATGAAGGTGGAGTAGATCCATTGATGCGCGGAATGTTTTCCGTACCAGCAAAACTTAAAAAACCAAATGAAAATCTTAATGTTGAACTTACAGAAAAATTATTCCATACTGCACATGCTGTTGCTTTAGACTTAGCTTCAATTAATATTCAGAGGGGACGCGAACATGGTATTCCAGATTATAATGAATACCGAAGATTTTGCAATCTCTCTTATGCAAACACATTTGATGATTTAAGAAATGAAATAAGTAGTTCTGAAATTCGCACTAAATTGAAACAGTTATACGGACATCCATCAAATATTGATCCCTGGGTAGGAGGAATTTTAGAAGATCAAGTTGAGGGTGGAAAGGTTGGTCCACTATTCCGTTGCTTGTTAGTAGAACAATTCCGAAAATTAAGAGATGGTGATCGTTTTTATTATGAAAATCCATCCGTTTTTATGCCTGAACAGCTCTTAGAAATTAAACAAACAAATTTGGCTAGAGTACTTTGTGACAATGGTGATAATATTACTGAAGCTACAGACAATGTATTTATATTACCATCTCGACAAGGCGGCTATAAAAATTGTACTGAAATACCTGGAATTAATTTGTACTTTTGGCAAGATTGTGGTTCATGTTCATCTCCGCCACCTCTATTAAAATCTTATTTACCCCATACTTATTATGAACAACAACAAAAATTACAAAACCATCAACTTTCACGTCAAAGAAGATCAGCTAAAAATTCAGCATCATCACCGGCAACCACCCTAAAGGATATGAAAAATCATGGTGAGAGTGATGGTGAAAAAACTTTTGAAATGAATGAAGAACGTGTTAGCGGATTAGAAGAAGTAATATCAAGTTTCCAAAAAGAATTGAAAAAATTACGTAAAAAAATAAAAAAATTGGAACAAATTTGTAATCCAACTAGTAATAACAGTAATAATAACAGTAACAATAACAGCAACAATAATAATGGTAGCAATGATAATAACAATAATAAAAAAAATAAAAATAAAAATAATTTAAAACGTCAACGTCGTCAATGTATAGACACAACAGGTAGTAGAAGATTAAATAATGAAATATGGAATCTAGATGATTGTACAAAATGTCAATGTAAACATTCCGAAATAACATGCAATAAAGAAAAATGCCCAGAATTGAATTGTACAGGTAATACAAGACCCATAAAGATACCAAATGAATGTTGTCAAAAATGTGGTAATGACAGTGATAAGAAAAATTAAAATTTCCAATACAACAAAACAACGGTGCTTAATAAACAAACAATTCAAAATATGGGAGAAGTTAAAAAAAAATTTTATTAACAAATTACTAAAAAAGATGAATAAAAAAATTTTAAGAATTTTCAACATAGATTTTAGAACTTTGGGCAACAATGAAAATTTAACACGTGAACAGTCTACAAGAAAATTTTGAAAATTTGTTCATTTTTAATTTAAATCAAATATCCAAAACAGAATAATTTACTTGTTGACATAATAATGACATATAAAATTTAATACCAACCAAAGAGTCACTTTGGTTTTGACACATTCTCATGATATTTTTCAAAGAGCACTTCAAAATAATTTTTCTGAATACTAAATACTTTTATTCAAGATTAATCTAATTTAAAATTCCCCAAAGTTCTAAATTGAAAAATTAATTGTTTTCTTTTTCGTAAAATGAAATTTAAGATTACATGACCTCAGATTATTATCAAAATTGGCAAAAATCTTTTTTGAAATTTTTAATGTAATTTGCATACTTTTACGAGAAATGTAATTTTTCTCATTAACATTCATAAGCAAAATTCCAACTAATATAATGCATCCAATATCTAATAATGAGAATCATAATTAAAAGTAATCATAATTTAATATTTTACTAATTACCAGCATTATTACATGATGTTATTAGAATATTCCATTGAAGCAATCCAGTAATATAATTACTTTTTATTACATAATTGCTGCAAAGGTTGTTACAAAATGTAATCAACGTATCTGCAAAGCATCACACTCTTTTAGGTTTTATGTAATTCAAAATAGTGCACATATCTACAATATTCAATGTGACATTTTACAATTACATCACAGTAACAGATTATATTGTTATTAAATTCTTGTGTACAGAAAGTATATTATGTGATGGCATACAAACCTATATACGAATACAAAAAAAAGAAAATACAATACGTATACGAATTTCTACTTGAAAATTCATTTTAAAAATAATTAATTTCAAAAGTACCTAGGTACATATACATTGATTCAATATTCTTATGCCATAATAATAAGTACTTGGTAAATTTTCATATTTTCAAAATTATTCTTTATTGATATTTGCTTAATAACATTTCCATAATAATAATAACAATTTCAATGTAACACAATAAATATATTATACAGAAAAAAAATTTCATTATTAGATATTTTTGCATTTTAAAGTAATATATGGGTAATCATGTCAACAAGAGAGTACTTATATTCAAAAAAGTACTTAAATTTTAAATAAATAAATTCTCCTATAGATGTCACTTTTGTGTTTTGCCAATTTTCTTATTAAATGAGGTTGCCAGTATAATAATATAAAAAAAACAAACAAACATGTGTTTTTGAAACAAGATGAAAAATAATAGAAAAGAGCAACAAAATTAAAAAATAAAATTTATAAAAATAAAATAGTAAATATAAAAAACAATTAAAAATAAAATATAAGAAACTATAAAATTTAATAATGTGATTATGAATATAGTTTTCAAAAAAAAATAATAATAATATTATATTGTCATAAGTTTTAAAAAATAAAAAAAAATTAATTAAAATTTTCAAAAAACCAAAAAAAAAAAATAAATATAATAAGTTTTAATTAATATTTTAATTTTTGTTAAAATTAAAATTATTATCACAACATTAAAGAATGATGAAGAAAAAATTTAAATTAAAAATACTTTTTAAAAGAAAAATACTAGAATATAAGAATAAATTTAAAATAAATAAATTAAAAAAACAAAATATTATAAAATAAGAAATTTAAATAGAGAAACCAAAAAAATTAATGTGTAAAAACAAAACAAAAAGTGTCATGAATTAAAGTTTGCTGTTTTAATGAACGAGAACGGCCTATGTTCAATTTACTTTGAAATTATACAAGAAACATAACCTATAAAACTCATTTAAATCACATATTTAATTCTTAAACTTCACTCTATTCATTGAAAAAAAATTTTCTCTTCTATAAATGAAATGCACAAATAAAAATGAAAAAACCAATTTTATATAACAAAAAAAAATTCCTACCATACTGCCATAAATTTCTCAATTCATATCTCTTAAAATGATTTTACCTATATAATGAAATTATTTGTAAATTCTTAAAAAATAGTAAAGAAAAAATTAAATTGAACATTGAAATTATGTAAATGTAATCCCCCTCCACCCCGTTCTTTAAAAACAGCATTTTAAACAAATATAGTCGAATCCGGATAACATTGTAAAACTGAAACACAAAAAACATGTTTGCAGTTGAGCGGTTATTGCAATAATAAGGGCAAAATTTTTGAAATCAAGCTGGTAACCTTTAAACTTTAATATAATTGCAATTTAACAGGTACGGATTTTAATTTTATGTTCATAACTCATTACCCATAAGTTTTTTTTTTTTTGAAAAACCAATTTTATTCATGTTTCTAATTCAAATTGACTGGCTGTATTTTGATATTTTTTCATATTCCATGTTTATGTGATTGTAATTGCTTGGGTTCGACTGTGTGTTATATGAAATTAATTTTTATAATATTTTTTTTATTAAATTTAAATTTTCTCATATTCCATATAACTAAACTCATATTTTGAATAAAATTTTGTTATTCTCTCTACATGTATTACTTACTTAGAATCACAACTTTTATATATTACGGTCGAAATAGATTAACATTATTTGCGTTCCATTTACATTGGAGTTGTAAATTAGAAGCACTATTGCCATCTATCGGGGAAAAAATAACATAACAGCACAGATCAGTTTTGAACTCAAATAGTGTAGTTGGGTTCAGCTTTCGCTATTCATATGTGCAATTTGAATACGTAAAGAGAACGCAAATATTGTTGAAACGAGTTGAATTGTTTGACAGAAGATTTTTTTCAATTATATGGTAATACTACCAAATTATTGCTTAATTTTAACACTGCCTTATTCAAATCATATTCAAAGTATGAATTTATTTTATAATAAAAATTCATTTTATATAAAAACAAAAAAAAAAAACAGTTAATTCAAGGCACTTAAGTCTATTAAAATACCAAAAAATACAAAAAAAAATATAATTTCATCAAATTGTGAAATTAAGAAACTTTTTATTTTAATTTTTTGTTTTCGTATTTCATAAAATAATTAAATATTTATAATTTTAAATTGTTATAATGAACAAGAGAAAAAAAATATTAAAATAAAATAAAAAAAAAATTTTAAATAAATATTAAAAAAATATTAGTTATTAAAATAATATCAGGGAATATTCAAATTTAAAAAAAATCTATACAAAAGTTAAAAAAAACAAAAAAAAAAATTAAAAAATTAAAAATAATAAAAACTGCACATTGAAAAATTCACAAAGTGTTTGTTTTCTTTCATTTTGATTTTTCCTTTATTTTATACAAAAAAAAAAAACTTTTAAAAAAAAACTTGAAATTTGAAAAGGCAAAAAGTTTTCTTTGTCTCTACATTTATGATTGCATATTTCGTTACTATTTTAAAAGTATAAAAGTAATTGAAATAAAAAACAATCGAGTATTTTGAAAATTTCAAAATTAAATTTTAAATTTATACTAACAATTCAAAAATTGAATCTAAATATTAAATTTGTTAATTACGAGTATGCTTTCATTGCGTTTATGAAGTTTAATTTAGCTTAACTACAATAAAATACTTTCCGAAATGCCATATGATTTATAACTAGATACAATTGAAAAATAAGGATATTACGAATAGAAAATGTGCCATCCAAAAATTATCGATATGGTCAGCATTTTTTTTAGAAATTACAAGCAAATAACATAATATTCTCCACTAGAGGATTTGTAAATTTCAAATAGTTTAGTTAATAATAACACACATTTTCATAAACGCAACACTAAAACACAATACGAAACGCAACATACTAAAAAATCATAATGTGCAAGCGTATATGAAATATATTTTTAATTATTCTATAAAATTAGAGCAGTTCTTTTTGATTTAACTATACGCTATACCTGTAACAATATCGCCATATTTAGCAACAAACCATTAGTTGACAACATTTTGTTTCTGAAAATAAATATGGCGTTGCTTTCATTATATATTGTAGTATACTATACGAATATGAAAAAGCTTAACTTTTCGAATTTCGTTTTGCCATCTCACTAAAATATTGATTAAATAAATCTCACTAGAGAGCCGGAATGAGGGGACGGAACGGTACTGACTAAAATCTCGGGAAGGAATATAGATTATTACCGTTCCATATTTTCGTTATTACCTCATTTAATGTTTATTGTTTTGCAAACCGTTTCTGTTTTCAGTCGAAAATCTAATTAATAACTACACCCAATTATGCTCTCTCTCTAATCAATAAATAAATACTCAATAATAGCAAAAATAAGTGGGGATTTTATACAGTATGTATTTATGTTTTAAATTAACAAAATTTTTCATTTGTGCAGTTAATTTTAGAACCAAAAAAAAATATTGTATTAAAAATATTTTACAGAAAAATTTTAATTAAAAATTAAAAAATAAAAAAAAATCAATAATTTTTGTTGTACTATAAAATAATATAAAGAAAATTGTATTCATAAATAATATTAAAAATAAATTATAAATAATGTGAAAATTTTAAATGAAAAACAAAAAAAAATCTTTTAAAAAAAATAATAATAAAAAAATATTCTTTATTCATTCAAAAAAAACAAATACAATACAAGTAAAAATTATTACATAATATGAACAAAAAACAACAAACACAAAAATAACAATTATTTCATGATTACATAAAATATTTAATAAAATAAAAAAAAAACAAAAAAAAAAATTAAATAAAATTAAATAAAAATAATTAAAAAATATCGAAAATTTTATAAGTTTTATGCGGCCCAAAAAAAAAAAAAATTTCAAAATTATTACAAAAAAAAAAAAAAATTATGAGCTACGCAAAAAAACCCAATGTTTTCTATTTTAAGGTATAAAAAATATATAAACATACATATACTAATTTTGTACTTCTAAAATGATGAGAAAAAGAGAAAAAAAATGAATAAAATTAATTCATAAAAAAAAACGACACAAAAATATTAAATATAGTAATTATAGTTAATGACAAATCAAAATTTAAAAATAGAATTGAAAAATTGTAAGAAAAAAAATAATAAAAATGATCAATTAATAAATAAAAATTGAAAAATTTATTTATTGCGGTAAAATTTTATTTCCTTATTATGAAATTCAATTAATATCCTTGTTGTATCCTTTACTTGGAAT